ATAAAAAGCTAAAAAAAGGCTGCACGTCCGGTAAGGCATGTCCGCTAACCATGCGCTACCAGGTGAATATGACATCGATCTTTAAAAACACAGCAACTAATTGTCGATGAACTGTTACTCGAGAGAGAGAAAGAAAAGAATTGAATGAGTGGAACTTAATTATGTGCACCAAAAGTAAACGGACAATCGGTGCAGATAGATGGTGTTGACTTGAAATAATTTGGCATTTTATCCAGGAAGTATAATTTCTACATATAATCACAGTGTTGTGATATTGAAAAGACGCGCACAGTCCTTCCAATTTGATAATTTTAATGGTTGACAAGCTTTAGAATTTATGTCAATCGTGGCAGTTGTACATATTCATTTCTTTTTAATTTCTTTCAAGTTAACGCCATCTACCAGAAATTTTGTGTTAACCCCGTTTTCGATGCGGAAATATTTAAACCCTCTCTCATGAGAACTTTGTTATCCGCGAAGCATAGATGATTTAGCTACTTTCCAGTGATGTCCAGAACGCCTCTACATACGGGCACATGAAAGGAGGTGACCTTTCTGATATAATTATTTCGATTTTAATCATTTAGCTATAATCCTCGTGAAAGTTTTTGACTAGAAAAATGAAAGTAGACTGAGTGGAAGCTTTTTTTGCCATGAATTTTCTGGAGTTTCTCATTTCAGCTACGTGAAAATATTCGGATCCTGAATTTATTTATTTGTGTTGCTTGTGTATCCTTTTTTTTGCTCTTCGCTGGCACTGTATCTGTAGTTGGGCTCTCGTTAGCTTTGCCATTCGACCAGTATTATGAGATTATGATATCTTTTGAACTGATCTATCAGCCGGCAATTTATGCAGCTGCTGTAACAACGCTTATTGCTTATGAAAACAGGTGAGTCTTTCAGTTCAAATTTGATTCTGCTTAATATTCACGACTCTTCCCCTCTCTAATTCCATCAGTTCTGGTTCAATGCAGTTTTTAAAAAGAATCAGTTTAGTTCGATGTTTCTTATGGATCTTTTACTATCTGTTCTGGTAGTAGATTTGCAATTGGTGATTTTGTCGAAAAAAACTTTATAGTGCTTGTCATTATCATTTGCTGATGAATTTCAACCTTCTGTTTAATGGCAGTTTAGCTAATTTTTCATTAAACATACATAAGGTGCCGCTATGAGCAAGTAATAGCTAAATCAAATGTGGAAATTTAACATTTTTTAATCTTATCTTAGCATCTTAATTTATTGAGCTAGCATTTTCTAATTGCATTATTGAATTATAGAACTGAGAACCTAGTTTTTCTTCGAAATGGCTGCAAGCTGATGTTCCTCAGAGGAGATTTCCTAAAGTAGTTGGAACTGATTAACTGGTTTGCACACACTTTACATTTTCCTCTTCAAAATCGTTACGATTTTGAAGAGGAAAAGTCATTGGCGACGTAGCGAACCATGAAAAGTCGCATGGTAGGTGTAAGCAAGTTGCAGCGCAATTCTAATCAAATACTACGGTTTCGGTTCGATGTGTACAGCACCATGAAGGCGGTGTATGCCAGGAGGAAAAATTGAGCCGATTATCTGGCAAGAATGAGAGAAAACAAATGGGCAAGACGAACTGCCAAATGATACCCACGCAATACTGAAAGAAACCCCTGTAGTTAGCCATTGTGACTGAAAGGTCCGCTTCAACAGCTGTATGGGATTACGTGGATAAGAGAAGCGCAAAGTAGAGTAGTTGTCAACTGCACCAGTGATAAAATGACACGCAGCATTGAAACAACACTGGTTATACCAGCATAACAGACAGCAGCTTAAAAGCAACTACTCAGTCACTGTCCTTAAAGAAATTATTAGAGCTTCAAATCGAAAATGAATATTTCCTATCAATTACAAATGTCGTTTTCAGGCGCCAAAGGAGTACGGATGTGATTCATTCGGATCAGCAGGACACGATAGAGCATATCAGTGGGTTACAAAAGTTGTGGGGTGATGAGAGAAGCAGAGCATGCTTTTCTACCCCAGTACATCGAATTAAGAGTGGCAGTGAAATCCGCCAACCCAGATTAAGTACTGTAATACTATCCAAATTTTCGAAGCACACCAACTGATACTGATCTCATGTCATTGGTTTTGCATCAAAGTCGTCAACAAAACAGCTAGAATAATCTCTGAGCTGTCGTAAACATTTTATGCGGAGCAACCTTGAATGTTGTTTTAGCACTACCTTAATTAGCACCATGACAGACTAGACAATTACTGCGGTATCTCGTTGTAATCATATGTTGCTGAGATGCTTTCACACGCCAAGCGCAGCTATGCCAGGCTTTTCGATCCCAGATGCAATACCTCAGTTAGTCCCCACAGCCTGTTCTATGCATGTGCGCGATCTATTCAGGGGTGCCTGTTTAATATCCGTGGGCCTTCAAATTCAGCCACAAACATTACTCAGCAGTGCTTAATATTTTACCTCAATTTTGTAAAGTATCGGGTTATGTGTAAAAATAACTGCAAAAAGGAATGCGGAAATCACTGACTGTGAAAGCGCTGGGACGTGTTGTCAGTTGTAAATAGTCATGTAATGTCGTAACCAGGACTTTTTCTTTACTTTTTTTTTTCTTTTTTGAAAAGCGATTGCGCTTCAGTTTGGTGAGTAAAACTGAATTCTGTAGAATGCTTTGTCTGAAATTCCAACTGCAAGAAAAAGTTTATTCATTGACTAATAAAGCAACTAAGATAAAAACAACGAAAGGAACTAAATTTTCCAAAAATTTAATTCTAAATATGTAATCGAACATCACTTTGCTTAGGAACTGGATGAGTCAGAGGAACTGAGGGTTCCATTTCTTAGAGCTCGCGGCGCAAATCTCGATCCGTTTCGTCTGAATGTACCAGAAAAATTGAAAGGCTTCAATTTCTCGGCAGATTCCTTTATCTCGCTTTCAATGCGTTGTACTTTCGCTTCGTAGTTTTTGACAAAGTCTCGAACATTAACAGTAATATTCAGAGCGCTCAACGTTGTGGTTTCAGGAAGGTTTGCAAATTCAAGTGCTGCAAGCTCTGGTATTCTTGCGAGTTTGATAAATTTGGTTGAGCGGAAAATTCGTGACTCGCCAGGAACACCAACAGCGCTTCCCCGTCTGAGAGATGACGGAGGTTGTAGGGTTTTTTGAGCTATTCCCACGCTTTTCGGCTGACTCAGTCTTGATAAATCTGCAACACTTCCATAGCGTCTTGGTATCTGAAAGACACACGATTTACATAAAGTAGCTGTGGTAGCTGAATCAGTCTTACACAGAAGCCTCGTACAATGTGTGAAAAAATCGCGAAACAAAATTTCCCAATTTGACCAAGTTTTGAGAACGTTGATTAATTGTAACTCACGCTGGAAGATTATGTAAATGCTTATTTCGTGTTGCATTTTTGCGGAGCAACGTTATAGCATCGCAACAGTTAGCAAAAAA